TATCTAGTCAAAGTTAATTTTATTTCAACTTTTTTTTTAACAAATATCACCGACACAATTAAAAATTATTGTTATATATTATCCACAAAAATCATTATTTTGGGTCTAGATGATATAACCTCAAATCAGTTTAGGATTCTATGTGTAGTGGTTCACCAGCTCGGCCGAAGTGTTACAGCCAAACGGTCCCTTATTGGTAGAAAGATTTCTTCTGTTCCTGAAATTCTATTGCTCCGCCTCACACTCTGAAATCCAAATCAATCGAACGCTGTAAAAGAGAAGTGTATGGACAAGGGCAAAGCGGTGATGGGCTCGGGCCGGCGTTGGGCCGTGGATTTCACGGACAATTCAACTTCGCATTCATCGCGTGATATTCTTGATCCACCGGGATTCACTCGCGCTTCACAAGAACAGGTGTGTGTGTGTGTTTCTGTTTGTGTGTGAACTGTTTTATAGGATTTCGAGTGATGGGTTTTTGTTTTTGTTTGTTGTTTACCCCTTTTTTGAGTTAGGAAGATTCTGCTGTGAGCAAACAGAAGAAGGACGCTGAGGCCAATTGGAAAGCCCAGGTGAAGTTTTTTTGCTTTGTAGCAGCTTAATTTGAATTGGGGTTTTGTTGGAAGGTTTTGTGTGGAGTGGATCTAATTGATGTTGAGTTCATGTTCATTGATAATGCCGAAAAGTGGATTGGGATTTTCGTTGTAGTTTCCTGATCAGCTGCTATTGTTCATGTGTCTTACTCACTCTTTGAACATAATGTGACCTAAAAAAAGGGGGAAAAGGTTGAACTTTCTTTCTGTTTTTCATTCTTTGATGGATTTAGTTTTCAATGCGGTGTGTGAAGTTATCCCGGACTGATTTAAGTATGAAAATGTTTGTAGTTGAATGCATTTCTCTATGATATCTTTATGAAATATTTGAATATTGAATTTGAATGAGAACTCTAACTCTATATGGAAAAGGATTTGTTTCATCGTGTTAAATTCTCAACTTTTTGCATACAATTCTACACGTTTTTTTCCTATGGTTTTTAATCACCGTAAAAAATCTCAGATGCACTGGTGATATATAGTAAGCTTGTTCAATTTTTAAGTAACCTTGTTCTGGTGCTGCAATTTCGGCTGCGGATGGTCTTTACCAACAAATATAGTAGATTATGCGTGGAGTGTGTTTGCTAAACACCTAAGCTAGCTTATAGCTTATTTAGTTAGCTTATAAGTTTGTTGTATTCAGATAAAGCAGGTCTCGTAGATGAGCTTTTTTAAAAAAGCTAGAGCTTATTAATAAAACATCTGTAGTAGCTTTTGAAAAAAAGAAACTTTTGAATTTGGTAAGCATATAAGCTAGCTTATAGCTTATTTGATTAGCTTATAAGTTTCTTATATTCAAATAAGCTTGGTGGTAGGACAAACTTTTTTAAAAAGCTCGAGGTTATCTCATAAGCTTCTTTGGGTAGCTTTTCAAATAAGCTCATTGAAATTTTTATTGCAGCTAGCTTATCAGCTAATTTTACCAAACACTTTTATCATATAAGCTAGTTTTGCAGCCATATGTCATAAGCTATCAGCTATAAGCTCGAAATTCACTTTAAAACGATAAGCTTGCTTATCAGCTAGGTTTACCAAACATAGTCTTGTTAGCTAATTTTACCAACGCTATTATTATATAAGCTATCAACTATAAGCTCGAAATGTACTTAAAAGCTATAAGCTATTAATAAAGGATTCTTTGGAAAGGCGAGGGGCGGTTCATTCCAAATTAGGGAATTGGTAGCCCGCGAGGCTGGCGTGCCCTCCTCTGGTACCTAGATCCCCTTTCTTTCAGTTAGATCCAGTCTCTGTTCTCCTTCCACTTTGACCTCGACTATTGCTTAGCTAGATTTACCAAGCATACCCTTAGCTTATCTATCAAACTTTGCTCAACTTTCGAGTCTTGGTAGTTCTGTACTGTAGGCTTCTTGTTGAATCCTGCTTAATTATCGAGTCTTGACGGATTTATCTTCTTATAACTGTATTAATTTTTTATAAGCAGAAAGCATGGGAAGTTGCACAAGCCCCCTTTAAGAACTTGTTCATGATGGCATTCATGATGTGGATGGCTGGAAGCACAGTTCATCTATTTAGCATCGGCATAACATTTTCAGCTCTTTTGCAGCCCATTAGTGCCCTTCGTGGGGTAGGGAAAGGTAAAGCTTCAATGTCAATACACTCTCTTGTTCATTTATGTTATGTGTTGTTAGTTTGCTGGGCCTTTTTGTAATTGATGTACAATGGCCATTTCTTAAAGATTTTTTCTGGCTCTTTATTGTGGCTCTAAATGTGGTGCTTGTTAATTGTTATCAATGAACACCTTATATAAATATCTGTGTTGATATTGCCAGTAATATATGATTATTTCCACTTTGTTTAAATATTCTTAACTATTATGAATTGCTGCTATTTTATGTAGTTTTCGAGCCATACAAGGACAACAAAGTTGATCTATTGGCACCAAAATTAGCATTTATTGCCCTTAATTTGGTCGGCTTAGGGCTCGGCATCTGGAAGGTTTGTTTGCTCTCTGAAGTCTACAAAATTATTTGCAGATAATTGCGCACAGGTACCAATTTTTCTTAATTTTATATATGTATTATTGTGTACAGCTTAACACGCTAGGTCTTCTTCCAACTCATGTATCAGATTGGGTTTCATCCTTGCCTCCCCCACAGGTTTTGATCATCTTATTTAAGTATTATTTTCGAATTCCGTACCTTTCTAAATTTAACTAATGGCCAAATGAAAACTTTAGGGTACTTTTTGTATTAAGAAATTGTGGCATGTAATCAGCATATCTTTGGTAACTTTAAAAGGGGCATTTTCCGGGGTTTGAAATCTGTACCTTACTGGGTTTTGGTTCTCTTATCTCCCTCTTCTCTATTCCCCCTAAAAAAAATAAAAAAATAAAAAAAAATAAAAAAATCTCACCAACACAATGTATGTCCGAACTATAACATCAATGCTGACTATAGTTTTCAAAATAAGGCCTTTTTTTTCCTTAACAAGCCTCTCGGGTATTTTGTAATCCAACACAAAACTGCCAATTCATGCCAAAATTTTCCTATTTTGTTAGTGTTATTTTTAAAAAGCTGTAAGTTTTTTCCAGGATGTGGAGTATTCTGGCGGAGGTATTCCGCTTTACTAGCTTTTAGCTTCTCTCTCTAGCCGAAGGTTTAATTTGGTGGTGCTCGTTAGACAATCGGAGGCCTTTCGAGCAGGTGAATGCCACCACTGTTAATCGTTGGTGACTGCAGTAATATTACGAATTGTTCGATTTTGGGAAAAAGTAAATGAGTTTTTTGGAGTCGGTGTTTGTTGTTAAAACGTTTTAAAATTCTAAATGGAGGATGGTTATGAATGGTTTTAGTGACTTTTGGATAGTTGAAAATTGTTAAGGTGTGAGTTCATGTTTTTAAGATTATGTTATTGCAGTGAATTTTCATTGGTTTTTATGAACCAGAGAATGATTTGTTCGTGTGTGTACTTGTTACAGAACATCAACAGTTCATGAATAATCGTATTTTCTAATAGGCTTCAACATTTGTCTGATTTTAATCATAATAACTGAAATAGTTGAGAAGTATATTGATATTAAATAAACAATCTGTTTGATGCATTTAGGAAAAAAATAAATTTAATCATATTTTTTATGTTTCCCAACATAAGCAATTTTATAATTTAGTATTGGAATTGAAGAGCGTGATTGGATACAAATATATCTATTCAAAATGATTTTTTTTTTTTTTTTGTTAACTAGAGTTAATTTTAAAAAATGTGGTATGGTTACTTATTAGTGGAACTTTGAGTTTATATTAAAATAATTTTTAAATAATATAATTAAAGTTGATTTGATATAAAAGTATAAGAAAAATTATGTGAAGTGATAATTTGTTAAAATTGTGTGAATGGATGAATAGTGAATTAAAGTTAATGTTATGTGTAAAAAAATGATTAATTGTTATTATTTAATTATATTAATAATATTAAAAAATGAGCGAACTTAATCANTTTGGCAACGCCAACTCAATTCATTTATTAAATAAATTTAGTTAAATGTGTGTCCAATTTTGTAATGTTTCTATTGTATTTATATATAATAATTTATTTTTTTTAAAAAAAAGGGCTATGTACAAAAGGCAATCCACTCAAACAAAAAATATTCTCAAAAAAAATATAGAAAAAGAACAAAGAAAAGAAAAAGGGGCCAATAATGTAAGAAATGAAAGTGACGTATAGATATTCCCATTCGGCTATTCTCTCACATAAAGACACAGCACCATTATTCTCTATATCAGACTATCAGACTCCACTCACAAATCCAATCCCAAATCTAAACACACACAAACACACACACGCAAAAAGGTAATCAATGGAGCTCACTCCACGGCAGCTGAAGAACTACGACGGCACGGACCCGTCGAAGCCGATCTACGTGGCGATCCGCGGCCAGATCTACGACGTCACCGCCGGAAAATCCTTCTACGCCCCCGGCGGCGATTACTCCATCTTCGCCGGCAAGGACGCCAGCCGTGCGCTCGCGAAGATGAGCAAGGACGAGAGCGACGTCGTCCCCAACCTCGACGGCCTCACCGAGAAGGAGATCGGCGTTCTGGACGACTGGGAGAAGAAATTCCAGGCTAAGTACCCTATTGTTGGCACCGTTACCTATTAGGGCTTCTAAAAAAAGTTCCCCCTAAAAAAATCCTAACTTTATGGTTAGTAGATGGGTCGTGGACCTGTGGTTCAATCTGTCAGTGTGAAATCGTGAGTGTTCAGAGTTTGAATGCTTGTTTAGTGTTGGTATGCTTTTCTGTATGTGGATTTGCATGAATAAAATGTATTTCTGGTTATGATTCTGTAGTAAAATGGTATATTTGAAGGCGTAATGCTCCATTTGGTATGGTTGGTAATTATGTGTTGTTTCTGGTAGTCCTGCCATGAATTTTGTTTGTAAGATGATGTGGGGATGTCTATAATTACACTAAACTTCTTGCGTCTGGTTTGAACTACATGTGTGTATCGATAATGTGTACGCAAGAGTGTCCTCCTTTAATCATCGATTGAAGGACATAGTTCGGCTCGTCGGAGTTTGAACTTTGTAATTTCTATGCATGTTAGTAGGGGCTTCTGAGACCACTTTGACACAAATTTTGGGTGATTTTGAGTTTTAACCGCCTGATCAACACATGTTTGAAATTTTAGGGGAATTTTACCTTACTGTGGAGTTTGAAGTTTTAACCGTCTGATCAACACACTTATACTTGTATTGATCAACATACACACTTAAACTGATGTGTGTGAGTGTAATAGCTGCCCATAGGATAGGGTCGAATTTTCTCATAAAGAGTTTAGCAAGAAACTCGGGAGGATTATTCGAACGTCAAAGTGGTGGCCAAGCATAGTGGACTCTATTTACGCAAGAAAAGGCACGTTCGGCAACCAATGTCTCGTCACTTCACGAGTTTAGGGACGATAGGTTGTAATAGTCCCATCTACATGATATAGTCTTGGTCACCTGTGTTTTCTCATTGTCAACAACGAGAAGTAGGTTGTAATAGTCCCATCTACATTATATAGTCTTGGTCACCCGTGCTTTCTCATTGTCAACAACAAGAAGCATCGATAAAAATCAGACCAAACAACATATTTTGGTGAATATAGTTGCTCAAAAGAACATCAAAACAACCATATAAGGTATCTAATTTGATTGACAAATTGAAGAGCCTGACATTCTACAACTCTCTTGCCTTACACGAATATTTCGAACTGAAAATAATGTTTAGTTCTGCTCGGTTTTGCTCACCCTGCATTTTCTATACTAAACTAACTGAACTGAACTGAATCGTACCAAATTGCAAAGTTGTGCTCAGTTTTTCTCACCCTGCATTTTCACACCCTCGTAAGCAACCCATTTTTGCTATCATCAAACCCATTCTTCGAAACCACTAAATCTTTACAAGCATAGGAATTCAATACATGAATGCCCAAATGTCAAAAAGTAAAAAAACTGATAAAAACGAGGTAATCAAGCAGCACAAAAACTGAAAAATTGAAAGAATGAACTTCACTGCGGCTCTTCTTCTAGTGTCTTTTCATTCTCTCCGGCTGCTTCTCAGCTGCTAATCTGTAAATCCAATAGACCTGCACATCGAAACACAAAATCCCTCAGAANAAAAAAAAAAAAAAAAAAAAAAAAAGAAAAAATCAAATCAAATGCAGATTTCGCCATGTACAGATGCCGACCAGAGCAATAACGTGGGAGACGACGAGAAGAACGACCATGAGAGGTACGAGATCGAGATGCCATGGCCGCGACGATGCTTGCTGAGGGTTTGCCATCGACTTTACTAACAAATTGTATTTACAGTTCTGTTTACAGTCATAAACCCCAATTTATTTGCGCGTTCCCATTTTTGTCTTGCAGGCGAAATTTTTCGTCTGATTTACATTTAGGTCCTTGATATGGGCTTTAAGTGTAATTTTACTAATTTGGTCATGGCCGATGAAGATGAAGGTTAGTTCATACGTGTCACAGAAACGTGTCACTTTACGAATCTCGACCGTTTTGTTCTTTGCATTTTGACTCACTATTTTTCTCAGCAGGTTCATTTCTTGCCTGGGTTAATCTCAATTTGGTCCCTACAGTTTTCTCAAATACGCACCAGTGATGAGGTCACTGGTCACACCACTCATTTTTTGGGGTTAAATTCAGATTAAATCGAAATCCTTGTTTTGTTTGAAATTTAATCTCTGTTTTAATTTAAATATAAAATATATAAGCTAAACTCAAACTGAATTATTTGATGAAAAATGAGTGAATTTTTAAATTTTTTAGCTTATTTTAATTCTATTTCGATTTTATTTTTTAAATAATAGAAATAACTGAATCGGGCAAGCTATTTTAAAAAATAATACTTTCATATATTTTTTATTAATACATTTCATTTCAGCAAAAATAATAAAAAATATTATATTTATTATAACTTAAAACTTATTGTTGTTATTTGAGTGAATGAATATTATTTCGTTTGGAAAATGCTACATATACATAATAAATGTATATAGAGGTGTACATAACACTCACATAAAGTGAGTCCATTTAATTTTTTATATTTGGTAGGTCCTACTCGATGTGAGTGTTATGTACATCTCTATGTACAATATTATGTACATATAGCATTGCCCATTCCATTTTAGTTTGATTTGCGATAAAAGTTCGACTATTTTTCTAACAATTTAACTGGTTATTTCGATTTGGGTGTTACTATTCACCGCCCCCCCTTTTACTACTCACCGCCCCCCTTGGACAATTTTGCCCTTCTCATTTTTTCTAAACATATCAGACAATTTATGAAAAAATACGTGTCCGGCCGCCGGTTCCGGACAGCTTAAAGCCCGTCCGGAACCGGCGTCCGGACGGCTTAAAGACCGTCCGGAACCGGCGTCCGGACGGTTCAAAGACCGTCCGGAAAGCATGGCCGGTCGGACCGGCCGTGTCCGGACAGGCCGGCCGGACGGCAAGAAAGCCGTCCGGAACCGACGGCCGGTCGGAACCGGTCCGTCCGGTTCGGCCGGCCGGCCGGCAATTTTTTTTTTTTTTT